GTTGAGTTTGTATACACCTGAATTTTCGAGTTAAGAAGTTTTGTCTTTATTATTTTTGATAAACCTTCCCAACATTTTTTATATTATGCTACTTTCGAGTCCTTTTTATGTAGAAATGAAGCTGATTTTTCAGTTGATGGTCCGAAATGGGTTAAAATTCTATGATTTGATTATTATTCTTGATTCAAGGATAAACTTCTTTGAGAGCTTTATTATGGAGTTCTTTAGGAACATTACTGTCTATCGAATCAACGTTATATCCGTTGTTGACTGCAATCTGCTTTATGAACATATATAAGATTAATTTTCTGAAAAACAAACAAATTGAACATATGTCAACCATAAATTGGAAGAAAACCATAGTTTTGATGATAATTTCGAAATTCTACACTTTGAATCATTAGAAATCAACAAACTCGAAAAGTCTAACAATTTACCTATCGATCAACTATAACCCTCAATAGTTCACCACTGTTGAATTTGTTTTTTCAGTAGGTATTTTCTATTTTCCGAAAATGAAGGTTTATCGAACTTTTCCACAGGCAATTCTCATCCTCCAGGTTGGGAAAGTAGGATATATAAAAGTTAGGCAAGCCAAGGTAAGTTTATTTCATTGTACCAGTATCTCACCTGATGAAGCTATACTGTATAAGCGAAACATGTCGTGAGATTAAGAATTCCGTGGAAATCTTACCGTTTGTGAAAATTCAATAATTCTCCATAAGATCCATATATTATGCGATTATTTACAATTTACCTCAGTCTAGTAGCTGCGCTAGTTTTGTGCCGTCTCTTATTACTGTGGACCCTTCCGAAAATACCGGCCATCGTTGACACTTCCTATCACCGCAAGTGAATAAAAAATATATAGAGCCAATGTCACACTACACCACCCATCCACCTAGTTGACACGACTCTAAATAACCAGGGCGAAATTAGGCGATTTCTAATTGAAAGAAATCGTCCCAAAACACGCGCACACAGCCGAACAATCGAAACATGGCTTAATTGATTGACTTAAGCGCATACCATGAGGCAGTACCTCGGTACGGTTAGCATACGGTACTAATAGTGCATTGTGACTCGCCTTCAGTGCCCATCTCAGCTTAGTTAGCACCTGAAGTGAAGAAAGTATGAGAAGGATCTCTTCCAATTGAGAAGGGGAGATTGGTCAGTTATTTCGTTGTAGTACCGCGCCGGTAGTACTTTGAATGATAGGATTATGTGAGTCGCGTTGCGCAATAGTCGCTGCTAGCCGTTATGCAGTACCTATCAGATGTCACATATCTTACATTTATTACACGGTTGGAATAATAGTTTGGTTGATATCAACTAATACCTACCCGGTATTTTATTTCATCACTTCAATATTTGAGAAACTATATCGAAACGAAGTTTGAATAAACAAAAATATAATGTATACAACGATATCTGAGTTCATGAAGTCATAATATTCACTATAAATATTCTATTACAGCAACGAAACATTTCTGTTATTTATCAACTGAAAAGTTATTTCCCTAATAACACACTTTTGTCCCATGGATATCCTTAGAACGTCCTGTCGAAACATTCAGGACGTCCAAAGAAAGTTCGAATTCAGTACCGTGGACGTCCATTGGACGTCTGTGGGACGCACCAATGTCCCACTTGAGGACCAACTAGGGACGTCCTTGAGGGATGTTCCTCGGACAACTATCGAATACCTAAATCCTACAGTATTCCTCATCAAGCACTACAGAGGACATCCTTAGGACATCCATAGGACAACCTATCAGCAACGCTGAGAGATATCAATTGGATGTCCATAGGGACGTACGAATTATTCTTGAATTTGAATTTTCCTGGGTCCCTCTAGGACCAGATCTTGCATAACTGATTAGGACATCCAGTTGAGTTGATGGTCCGTAGAAGGTCCCCAAAAAGTTTCCCAAGGACTTACGTGAAGGACATTGACGAGGAGTACCTACTTATAGCCTACGAGCAATCATTCGTCGGCGAGGTGTAAGTTAACGTCCTCGCAGGGACAACATATTGAAAGTACCGACTGGGACGTCCATAGGACGTTATTTCTAGGACATTGTAAGAGTACAGTTCATGTACCAATTGGGACATCCGACGGATATCCCTAAGGGACATTCAAAGGATGTCCCTAAGGGACATTTCGATTGTTATACGATCCTGGAAATATTAAGGGGGTCTGTGCAGAGATATTTGAAGGAATGTACCATCATATACATTCCATGGTTGTCTAGAAGGGACATTATATAAGATCTCAAGTCATGCCAGAATATGTATGTATATGTATCCCATCAGGGACATGCCAAGGACGTCCTTGCATGGACATTCTACAATATGTACCACTTGGGACGTCTAAGGGATTTCTAGGACATTTGAAATGATGTATCAGCTGGGACATTCCGTGGACGTCCTTGTTCGGACATTGCATGAGATGTACGGGATGGGACGTCCATAGGACGTTGTGTGCTATCAGAGTTATCATAACCAAATCATTATTGATTCATCTCAACAGCGATAATTCGTTGACGAATGACGTGTGAACGAAGAATATTTTGCTATAAAAATATCTGATTCTCTAACGAATAGATATCGAAATATGATGCATTCATAGAAGGTAATAAGAAGGTGGATATCTCCAATAACGATTTATATTCCGAATGCAACAAAATATCCATTCTTCTGATGCAATGTAGATTTTATTCGATCAACAGAATATGACATACTATTTTGTAGAACTTTCACGATTGAGTATCGAATTTTTTCCTTGCTATTGAAAAAGACATCATCATAAAAATGAAAATTCAAAAATATTAAATATGAATTTAGACGATGGTGAAAGTGAGGTTACTTACTCGTCAGGTTGACAAGAAAATCATCCATGGAAATATATTTGGTACAGTTGACATATTCGCGGGAATCAATGTCACCAGGTGGCGCTCGGTTTCATCGTTCCATGTCAAAGCCACGTCAAAACTGGGGGAAAACAAACTCAATCCTCACTCAATCCCATTAGTGCCATTGGCTTGTGTACTGTGTACTGATAAGAGTGATACCTCTTTATGTCATCGACAAGTTTGACAACTACAGCTACAGCAAGATGTATGCAATGTAGTCTATGCACTTTATCCATAGACAATAATTTGTTTTACCCCAGTTTGGAGTTCGTATTATGTAACCTAGATGTCGGCGAATAGTCCCTTGATGGAAATTTTAACAGGGTACGGACAGATCCTCGTCTCCTCTCACTCTAAAGTGTTTGTGAAACAGTTATATAGTCCCATCCTTATCCAATTCTGGGGATAAACGCTAGATTTTTGACATTTGTTGTTTCTTGGGAACAAAGTAAATAGGCCGGTTAGACAGCTTTCAAGAACTCTGATAGATGACGTAGGTTTATTTTCTATCGCAAATTACGGTACATACTCATCATATCAAATATCAACTTCAAATTTGCTAACATTATTCTAGTACTTTTTGTCACTTATCAAATTCAATTCAACACGGCAGTATGCCACAGCCATAGTGGGTGTTTAAAAATATGTAATCTGCATATTATCCCATTTTGTGAACCAAATTTTTTGACCAAAGATATTTTACGGATGATTTTCTTGTCAACCTGACTAGTGAGGAACCTCACTTTTAATAATTTCTGAATTCATATTTTACATTGTTCAATCATCAATTTCAAAATGATGCCTTTTTCAATAGCTGAGAGTTCATCAACTTCCACTAGTTTTCAAATTCAAATTTAACTTCTTTCAAAAAATAAATTTCAAAAACATTTTTTCTATTCTTCCTGAGGTATTTTTCAATATCTAGAAAGCTGATTACTTTCAGGTTATATATATGCACTGATGATGACTGTTAGTCGAAAGCGGTCTCTGCTACGAGAAATTGAATAACATCAATTTTCCACGAAATTCAACTTCTTGTACTATTTTGCAACATCTACACGGGCACTCAGCTGAGTAACCCTCACTTAATTTTTATTTAATTTTTCTTATCTCTTGGAGCGCACGGAATCTCTACAATGTTCGATGAACATCGTGCGTACCTGAGAACAAGTGAACAAGTGTTAAAATATTTCTAATTTAGAAAAAAAAATATATCGCATCTTTTTAATTTTCCATTTATAGAATGTGCTGAATACAAGTAATGAATACTTGAAACATTTGAGATTTGAATTGGTGAGAATGATAACACATGTTCATTTTTTTATTTTGATAGATGCTATAGGCGTATAGTCCGGAAAGTAGTTGTTTTCTGTTGAATAAACCTAGAGAAAATTCCTATTTGTTCCTATCCTCCCTAGGAACGCACGATGTTCTTTGAACATTATAGGGATTTCCTTTCGTGCGCTCCACGCGATAAAAAAAACTTGCGGAGAATGCGAATTCTCAATGTTTTTCTTCATATAGATATATATCTCCATCTATTCATGAATCTTGAATTTTCGTCTCAATATGAAAAGGGATGAAAAATTTCAATCAAAATGTAATCTTGAGTGAAATAATCAAGACTCAATAATATAGAAGATCCAGTTTGGAATTAAAAGTTGGTATCGTTTCCGAGTGAACCGAAATGTGAAAAAATTACACTCTTCTCTTTATGGTTCAAAGAAGGACATTTTAAATATGTGTGAATAGAAATAGGTCATTTCCTACATTCATTCATTCACGATCCAAAAATGCTCGATGTGAACTCGAAGATCTCGCAGTGAAATATATAATACACGTTCAATATTATAAAATTCAAGTGATTCGCTTCAATACCCCTGGTTACATATCATGATGGACTGATTGGTCAACTTTGTATTTCCGCAATTACTGAAAGAAAGATTTTTTCAATAAATTCATAGGGAAAAGTGCTTCATCACTTGCGTATGAAGACAGTTGTTTATTGAAAAGAGAGAGCGATCCTATCTCGAAGAAATAATAAGATCAATCTTGCGGTTACTCAATTTATTATAGTGGAGTGTTTTAATTATTATGGATGGTTAGATAATCTGAGTTGTCCATGATGCAAATGGTGTTTACCAAGATGCATTCTATCACCAATCCAATCCTGATATCTAAAATATTATCCTTAAACAGCAGGAAGAGCAGAGAGCACCATATTCTGTCCTATATTATGGTTATTTTCAATTCAATATGAATAGTTACAGGGTAAGTTGATGTTCTTACTTTTCTTTATCAGATCTCACCTTACCTTATATCTGGAAAAGTTTCCTAGTAATTTAATCAGTATAAATGAAAAACCAAGAATCTCAACATCAACAGATTCTAAGGAAACCTTCGTATTGATCAAAATGGTTCTATATTCTAACTCAATTTTTTTGTCCCATGAGTCATGGATCAAAAGAAGTGAAGTGGTAAGGGGGGGGGGAAAGTTATTTCCAATCAAATAACCATATATGCAGTTATCCAATTCATGGTTCGAAAGTTGTTCTTTTTTCATTTCTAAGAAAAAAATTAATTACAAGAAAACTATGTCACATCTATGATTTTTTCTTCTACAAATTTCATCCGCATGGATGTAGCATTCCCCAGAAATATTTTTTATAGCCAGTGTTTTACTTCCGATCAGTTAATAAAAATGTGCTTTGTTGAATGAAATCGTCTAATTCATTTGATTTTTTATTGTCGCTGATTCAGAAACCACCCCACGAAGATAACAAACTAAAAAAAAAGATGACCATTCAATATAGATTCCGAAATGGAAGAGGAATCAAAAATTGTACATGCATTTGGATCCTACAGGGTGTTAGGAAACGAGAAGAACCATCAAATATCGCGTGTTATTCAATAAAACAGTTGAACTATAATGTTCATCTACAACAAATCTGATATTAGTAGGTCTGTGAAATGATGCAGGGTGTGCCATTTGGAATTATATATTGAGTTAGGAGCATTTGAAATTCGAGAAAGTTGAAGTGTTATGCTGACCATCCTGTATACTTTGTAGTACAGATGAGAGTTTGATGTAATAGAACATGGTATCTGTATTGACTATTGATCACCACGAATGTTTATTGAATTAATTCTTGAAATGGTAAGTAGTGGATTTTTCTCAAAGATGCATTTCTGGGAAAACGGTTCTATACAGTGTCTTTCAAAAGTATCGGAACGGTCTCATATTTCAGGAACGGCTTGAGAAAAATTCACGAAATTCTCTACAGGGTGATTATTGATGATGTCCGATTCAATGGTGGCATCGGCAATGTTGCCAAGTTCACAGTTTTTCAGATATTAGGAGTAACTTTATTTTTTCAAATGGAATACCCCATTTATTTTTATTGCAATTGATTAAGCGCCTCCTAATTACTTGAGCCACGGAATATCAGATTCGTAACTAACGTGATTTTCGAAATATGACAACATAGCATTTTCGTTAAAAAGTTCTGGAATGGTCCCATATTTCAGAAATGGCTCAGAGAAAATTTATGAAAACTTCGACAGAATGTTTGTTGATGATGCCCGATTCAATGGTGATATCGGCAATGTTGCCAAATCAACAGTTTTTCAGATATTTATGGTAACTCAATTTTTTCAAATAGAATACCCTATTTGTTTTCATTGCAATACATTCAGCGACGCCTCATTACTTATGTCTCCAAATATCAGATTTTAAATTGTAGTGGTTTTGGAAATATGACAACATGGCATTTTCGTTCAAAAGTCTGGGAACTTTCTAATATTTTCAATACGGTTCAAGGAAAATTCATGGAATTTTATACAAGATGGTTTCTGATGATGCCCGATTCAATGGTGATATCGGCAATATTGCTAAATCAACAGTTTTTCAGATATTGAGGGTAACTCAATTTTTTCAAATGGAATACCCTATTTGTTTTCATTAATTACCCTCAATATCTGAAAAACTGTTGATTTGGCAACATTGTCGATATCACCATTGAATCGGGCATCATCAACAACCATCCTGTCGAAGTTTTCATAAATTTTCTCTGAGCCGTTCCAGAACTTTTTAACGAAAATGCTATGTTGTCATATTTCGAAAATCACGTTGATTACGAATCTGATATTCAGGGACTCAAGTAATTAGGAGGCGCTTAATTAATTGCAATAAAAATAAATGGGGTATTCCATTTGAAAAAATAAAGTTACTCCTAATATCTGAAAAACTGTAAACTTGGCAACATTGCCGATGCCACTATTGAATCGGACATCATCAATAATCACCCTGTAGAAAATTTCGTGAATTTTTCTCAAGCCGTTCCTGAAATATGAGACCGTTCCGATACTTTTGAAAGACACTGTATATAATAACTTGACAACGCCAGGTCGTATGTTCAGAAACGAACAACCAGAAGGCAGCATCATTTGATGAGAATCCAAATATTTTCGAATGAATAAGCTATCCCGCTTTTTCGCACTATTGATCCACCCTGTGTGTATTTTGATTTTTCTTCAAGCGACGTTGATAGTTGGCACCACTATACAATTTGCTCGAATGATAGTGTACCATATTGATGAACAATTAATTTTTTAATGAGGCGAATGACTTCGAGATTCTCCATCATAACCTTTGAAATGTTTCAGCAATGTTGTCCCATTGCGAAAAAATGTTGACATATTCCAAGATATCTTTCAGGGCAATATTGTTTATAGAATATTTTGCCATTCGTTTGATAATATTTTACCAATGTTTTTCTGATGACATTGCATAATATTGATTCCCAATAATATATAACACTATAGCTGAAATATTTTACATGAATATACAAGGTGTTTTTGAAATAAGTGCACATATTCAGCACATTGATATGATACAGTCTAAGGAATATTCCCATGATATCAGATTTTTTCTGATTCTTCTAATTAACGAGAAATTCCAACCCGAAAATTGAACAAAATATAAGAAAACAATCAAGTATGCCACTTCAAGACAATTCAAATGATTGAACTTTTTTTTTTATTAGTGCCATTCGATAGTACACGTCGAGCTTTCTCAGTGTTTGAAATATTTGCACTTATATCAATGCCACCCTGTATATAGCAGAATGACATGTCAAAATTCTTCATAGCTTTTTCGTCAATATCACATTCACAATATTCGGCTAATATTTTCGTTATATTGGATCAAAATTGTTCCAACAATATTTGTGTACTATTCGGGGCATCATGATGAGACGTATAGTGAATATATAACTCAATAAGAAGAATATGGTTCGAATTAGGAGATTTTCTGACATTGCTTAGTAAAATATCGTTATGAGAAAACTGGATCGCCCTGATGTACTACAACTCCCTGTATAGAGTTTTTTTGAAAAATGGTTAACAGATAGTGACTCATTTGAAAGTGGGCCACCCTCATGAAGTTTTCATTCATGGACCGATTTTTACGAATTTTTTTCTGAAATAATGAAGAGGGAGAATAGGAGTATCTTGGAGTCAATCGACGTCCATTTTTTGTAACAATGGCCAACTAGATCATATTCAGAGGCTGAAAAATCCAGAATCCATATTAGCGATTTATTTAAAGAAAATCCGCGAACATCACTGAAATCCGCGTCATCTGAAATATACCTGTACCAAGTTTCATGAAAAAATATTCATCATGCATTAACAAATCTACAGTCTACAGCGTGTCTCATTTCCACCCTCCCTATATATCTCAGCTATTAGTCGAGCGATCTCTACCAAATTTCAAATTTGGACCGGTATGGAATGTTATGAATATTATCAGTTTCATAGAGAGGAACATATTTTTGGACAGTGCCGTGTTTTCTTATTGTAATAAAAAGGGTTCGATTATTTGTAAGAAAACTATAACTTTTTTTCCTCTTCCATATACAAGAAACCACATCATTCCAAATCAACAGAATTTGCTTAATTTTTTCATTTTCAGCCTCGGAAAGATAGTTGAGTCAAATTAAATGCAAAATTTGGAACGGTCAATATCCATACACGTATGAATGACCGAAGATCAATCTGATCAGTTTTTCAGAGTACATCCTTTTGGACAGTGCCTTGCGTTTTTATAAAAATGAAAAGGGGGGTAAATTTTTTATGGAATTATATTAGGATTGTTTTAGAAGGAGAACTGACCTCTCTATATTGTTCTTCATGGCTTCAAACACCCCCATATGTTATGATGTTCATGTTCCTATGAAGGGTTGCAAACAAAAGGCCTGTTGGTTTGTGCTTGCTCTTCTTGCTGAACTTGATTTTTCTTCTATGACTTTCTCTGTTTTCATCATGTCATGAACAGAGACAACAATGGGCAATAAATCAACTTTAGCAAGTTCAGCAATACAAACGAACAGGCCTAAACAGGCACATCTGACCAGCATTTTAGCGAACGTAACAAATATTAACTCGGTAACGGTGAGTTTAACATAAAATTGTGTTTCTTGTTTTTTTCTTTCAAATCACGATTTTCTACCAAACGGAGCTATTCAACGTTCCAAAATTTGCTGTTAATTCTAATTCACTATATATTTTGCCGAGGTTGAAAATGAAAGAAATGAGGCCAATTCTGTTAATTTAGAATGATGGTGATTTTTTGCATATGGAGATTCGAATGCACTAGGAACAATAATATGAAGTTAGTTTTCTTGCGAAATAATCCTAATATGAGTTTATAAAAATTGACCCACTTTTATTTCAATAAGAACGCACGGAACTGTCCAAAAGGATGTATGACTGAGAATCTGATCAATCTTTGGTAAAAATCGTTCGACTATTATGGACTAATAGGGATAAATGGTGGGATCAAAGTGAGAATTTTTCTTTAAATAAACATGTGTCCTTAAATTCACCTCTTCCAAGCTACAGAAAAAAAAGATATTCTGAAATTGTGACTAAAATAACGGATCAAATCTTCTGAAAATTGGCAGACCCCTGTCCTTTTAGACACATCATTTCATTCTTTCTTCAAAAACTATGTAAACCCAGTTTTAAGGGGGGGTTGGCGGGTTGAAAGGGGGGTCCTCACTTTCATTGGCCGAAATGAAGTGCATTCAAGGACACATGTTTATATAAAGAAAAAGTCTTATTTTGATCCCAATAATAGGTCCTTAAAATATTTACATCGAATTTTGAATCACCCTATATAGAGGAGG